GCTCAGCACCCCCAGGCCCAGCACCTTCAAGCTCAGCACCCCCAGACGTAGTACCTCTAGCAGCACCTGAGTCCACAGCTACCTCACCAGGCACAGCACCAGGGGGTGGGTCTACCTGAGAGACACCTGAGGGAGCAGAACCCTGAGGAGGGAGGGGGTCTACCGGAGGGGGACCTGGAGCAAGGAAGAGAGGCGGAGGAGGGAGAGGGGCAGAGCGGTAGGGGAAGAGACGGTAAAAAGGAACCGACTTGTCAAACGTGACGTCCTGAGAGGGAAGGACACGGCGCGAGGTAGGGTGGTAAAACTGCCAGCCAGGCGCATCAGGGAGGAAGCAGAGACCAGAGACAGGAAGACGAGAGTGCATGCCACGAAGGCGTGGCAGGAAGACCAGAGACAAGAAGACGAGAGTGCATGCCACGAAGGCGTGGCAGGGAGGGGTGACCCAGGCGGTGGTGCCACAGAAGAGTCTGGTGCGACAGGAGGCGACACGAGCAAGAGGCGGCTACCTGACCTGACGCGGACACCTGAGCAGACGCAGCTACCTGAGGAGGCTCGGTAGCGAGTGTGTACAGACTCGACCCTGGCCGACGAGTGAACGTGGCCACGTGACGCCCCGTCCGTGTGCACGTGTAGATCGACACACGCTGACCCCCAGGAGTGGTGGTAGTGACCACATGGAGGGCAGCGGTACTCACCAAGTTCGTAGAGAACGAGGGGAGGTGAAGACCTGACAGTGAGCCGGACGGAACCGCCGGACACGGGAGGACAGTGGAGGAACGGGCCACGACCGGGCCCCCAGAGGGGTCAGCGAGTCGGACCGGGACAGGTGCAGAGAGAGGAGTGAGAGTGGTGCTGTCACGAAAGAAACCGCGCGAGGCGCCTGAGTCCAGCGTGAAGGTGTGCAAGGCCTCAGCAGGCGTAGTACCGGGGAGAGTACCATACTCATTAGCACCTAGAGCAGCAGCGGCTATACCTGGGTCAGGTGGCACACACCGGTAAGAGTCACCCTCAACACTAATGGACAAAGCATACATAGCAGTGAGAATAGCATCATAGTCTATAGCAAAGATATCCACACCCTGCCTAACCAACTCGAGCCAGCGAGGAAGCTCAGCCGCGTCGCCAAACTCTGCACGCCAGGTGTCACTCAGACAGGAGAAGCAGCGAGACTGTGTGTGACCAACTGTCCCGCAAGTCTGACCAGCCCGGACACCTGTGCGAATGACGTACGGGCAGCGAGCACTACTCCGAGACGCCCCACGCTGAACGTACCACTCACGAAGGTGCTGAGGCGAAAGGGTATCGCGCGGACACTGCTGCTGTGTCGTCAGGCCACCGCCAGGAACTCCCAATTGAACAGCTGCAGAGCGACCTCCACTACTGCCGCTGCCACCACCCCTACTAGTGTACCACTCACGTAGCTGCTGGGGTGGAAGGGACTCGCGCTGACGCTGCTGCAGCCGCATCTGGCCACCGCCAGAAACTCCCCACCGAGCAGTTCCACAACGACTGCTAGGACGGCCTCCACTACTCCAACTGCTGCCACCACCACCGTCACCACCCCGACCGCTACATCGAAGAGAAGTCATAGCGAGCAAGCTAGGCGGCAGGGGGTGCGAGAGGGGCGGCAGTAGGAGCAGTAGCAGTATCAGCAGTAACAGCAGGGGGGCGGGGGGGGGGGGGGGGGGGGGCCGAGGGGCCGAGGGGCCTAGGGGCCGAGGGCCTAGGGTCGACGGGGCTGCGGGGCCAAAAACGAAGGGGCCTAGGGGCCGAGGGGCCAAGGGGCCGAGGGGCCTGGGGCCTAGAGGCCGAGGGGCCAAGGGGCGGGGCAGAGGGGCCAAACACGAAGGGGGGGGGGGGGCCAAGGAGCCGAGGGGCCGAGGGGCCTGGGGCCTAGGGGGCCGAGGGGCCGAGGGGCCGAGGTCGAGGGGGGGGGGGGGGGGGGGCGAGGGGCCTAGGGGTGGGGCCGAGGGGCCTAGGGGCCGAGGGGCCAAACACGAAGTGGGGGAGGGGGGGCAAGGGGCCGAGGTGCCAAGGGGCCGAGGGGCGTGGGGCCTAGGGGCCGAGGTGCCGAGGGGCCTTGGGGCGGGGCCGAGGGGCCAAGGGGCCGAGGGGCCAAACACGAAGTGGAGGGGGTCGACGGGCCAGGGCGCGGGCTAGGGGTCGACGGGGCCGTGGCGCGGGCTGGGGGTCGACGGGCCGGGGCGCGGGCTAGGGGTCGACGGGGCCGTGGCGCGGGCTAGGGGTCGACGGGGTCGTGGCGCGGGCTAGGGGTCGACGGGCCGGGGCGCGGGCTAGGGGTCGACGGGGCCGGGCGCGCGAGCTAGGGGTCGACGGGCCAGGGCGCGGGCTAGGGGTCGACGGGGCCGTGGCGCGGGCTAGGGGTCGACGGGGCCGGGCGCGCGGGCTAGGGGTCGACGGGCCGGGGCGCGGGCTAGGGGTCGACGGGGCCGTGGCGCAGGCTAGGGGTCGACGGGGCCGGGCGCGCGGGCTAGGGGTCGACGGGCCGGGCGCTCGGGCTAGGGGTCGACGGGCCGGGGCGCGGGCTAGGGGTCGACGGGCCAGGGCGCGGGCTAGGGGTCGACGGGGCCGTGGCGCGGGCTAGGGGTCGACGGGCCGGGGCGCTAGGGCTAGGGGCCGACGGGGCCGGGGCGCGCCGGCTAGGGGCAAGGGGCCGGGACGACGGGCCTAGGGGCGCTCTGGCTAGGGCCTACGGGCCGGGCTAGGAGCGACGGGCCTAGGGGCGACGGGCCAAGGGGCGACACAAGGGTCGCTAGGAGCAGTGCAATGGTGGGCAAAAAAAAAAAACGGTCCTAGCGGAGGACCTGCTCTGAAACCATGTCAAAAGAATGAACGAGAATGGATGGACTATGAAAGAGTTGGGTACAAGTACTAACCCTAATTGGGTTGTACCTCTTATGGGCTACCCCACTATAGCCTACACAAATGTAAAAGCTATAATGTTCTGACATTGTGGCCCTTTGCTTGTGCTCGGAATGTGTGGTGACTTCGTGATCCACCCCGAGCTTGCTTTGCTTTTCTTGACTGGTCTTGTGACCACTTGTTCTCCCCCACTTTGCCTATGGGGGTGTGTCAGAATGTTGTAGTGCTTGTTTTGTGTAGGGTGTAGTGGGGTAGCCCATAAGGGATACAACTCAATTAGGGTTAGTACTTGTACCCAACTCTTTCATAGTTCATCCCTTCTCATTCAGTAATTCTAACACAGGGGTGACTAGACAATTCTATAAACTAGAAAGCCTATAACAGATCCGAGAAAAGAGGTGAGAAACACACAATTGTCCTGCGTGGATGGCGTTGGTATTGAGCAGTGACGGGGGTGCCTCTTGGCCTCGAGTCCTGTTCGAGGTTTATACCTTTCTGCTCGTTTTCGCTGCCTTCGATCTGCTAAAAGGAAAAGTTCGGCGGGGCGATAGGCTTCACACCATTTGCTAATGACGGGGACATGCGGGTTACGGCGCGCATTTCATGGCTAATGACGGTTGACTTTAGCTCACAGTTCGGCTCATGGCGAAAACACTCACGAAGATTGAGTCGTCGCGTACAGCTCGCGACTGTCGTGATGTCGTCAATTTCAAGCCTTGGTGATTTCATGACCTAAATCAAAGTTACCATGACGTTCCCGTCTCAGTTCCGTTCATCTCCTGCCATTGGTTCGCATGGATAGGGATTAAGATGGAAATGAGTCCTCATATTTTTGCCGTCTCAGTTCCGTTCATCTCCGACCGTCTGTTCGTGATGGATAGTGACTAGGATGAAAATCAGCCGTCAATGTTTGCCTGATTGGTGTGGCGAAATCCATCCAGTCTCGGGGCTGCCAATCAAGGTGCAGAACGGAACTAAGTGCAGAATGGATGAATGGATTCATGAGATCGTCGGAAATTCCATACCTTGCAAAAAATAGCTCCACTACAAACAAACACCGTTGAGTGATAGCACAATTGCGGACGACTTTACCAATACAGGCTGCAAGGCATACAAAAACTTAAATTCAGCCTTCATGTACACCACCTCAAATTCATGTCTGGCCTTTGAGAGCTGAGCCCAGGCCCTCAGATTCACTTTTAGGGACGTTGATGCATCAGGGTCCCTGTGAAAAAAAAGCCTGAATTTTCAGGGCTCCTAGAAAAATAAACCTGAATTTTCAGGGTTACTAAAAATAAGAGCCTGAATTTGTACAAGAGAGAATCCATTATCAATTGTACGGCTGGAAGATTCGAACCGGTAACCTTACCATTCAGTACAAATTTCGCTAACCACTGAGACAACTCATCCCGTCAGCGTGTGTCTCTTTTTTATTTATAGGTGTTTATGTGGAAATGTTGGTTGACTCAATCGTTCGGGTGTTTCACGGGAAGGATTAGGAATGTGCATTCAGTGTACACTTCGATAAAAGTCTGAAACATCAGTGTTAGCTATGAAGTAAAGGCTGAAAAAATCAGTGTCACAAAAATCTCAACACTGAAAAATCAGTGTAGGTACACAAACTAGGCTGAAAATCAGGAATTTCAGGGAAAAATTCCTGATATCATAGGGCCTGGCTGAGCCAAACTGCTTGCTAAAGTTTCACTACATGCGGCTGCACGGTTGATATGGTACGCCCACTTGCAATCATCCTGTCTGCACCTTCTACAATGAGATTATGTGCATCACTCCCTCCCACCTCTCTCAACTGCACACATCCGTTCACTTCACGCCTTCCCATTCCACCAATCTGCTCCCTGCCATTCCATAATGATAGTCCCTCTCCTTCCTATTCCGCCCCTTTCATCCTGCCTGCCATGCCATGCATCCCCACTCATAATTCGAAACTCCACTTACAAGCTGATTCAACCTCCCAATCCAAGGAGACATTTGACAACGAATACCAACAACAGCTCAAACCAACAGGTGGTGTTGCCACGAGGGCGGCACGGATGGGGACCCATACCACGGCCGGGCCTCACTGGCCTTTGAGGTGCGTAAGAGCAGTTCATCCCAGCTCAAGCCAACAGGTGGTGCTGCCATGAAGGCAGCACGGAGGGAGACCCGTACCACGGCCGGGCCTCACTGGCCCCCACAGGCGAGTGATACACGCCGTCCAAGATCAGATTCTCCGCTCCCTCCAGCAGGGCGGCATCTTCCGGCACGACTCCATCCCCCCACACCTCCGCCCGCCCGCACACCTGCTTGTACCCCTGCCCCACCATGCGCGCCTGGAACACACCTCCCCCAGATGCCACCTGCTTCTCAGCACCCGCCTCGTCTTCATCTGAAGCCCCACTGCTGCCCTCCTCACTCTCACTCTCACTGCCTGCCTTTGCTGATGCGCCCCTAACTGGTTTCACATCCAGGGCAAAGACGCGTGCCTCCCCCCCTGCTGCTGCTGCCACTGCTGCCATCGAGGCTGGTGCAGAGGCTGCTGCGTCTGCTGCAGGGGTGGCAGCGGCACTGCCGAACAGGGGTAAACCCTTGATGTACCTGCTTGAGTGGGTGAGTGGGTGAGTGGAGAGCTGCGGAGGAGGTGATGAGCAAAGCATATAATCTGTAGGCACCTCGCTAGAAGGGTGGGTGGCTATGTGGAGTGATGATGCGGAAAGGTTGAGGATTTTTGAGAGGAGAGCGGGAAAACAACGGTAGAGGGGAGTTGGGAGGGGTAAATAAGGAGGGGAACAGTAAAAAAACATCCATGCAGGCCATGAAGAATCACACTACGTTTGTAGATTCCCGAATTGGAAAGAACCCGGTTTCAGCCAAAATAAGAAGATTCTGGGCTGCCTAAAGAATGTATTACAACGGCATACAGACTTGACCCAAGAGAAATCACATGTTTTAGGCAGACAACGTCAGCTGCTGAGGAGAGAAAATCTCACCTGCTGAGGAGAGAAAACCTCACCGCCCTGCCCGAGCGAGAAAGCCTCACCTGCCCGAGATGCAGACGTATTTGACGTGCGGTGCGTGGAAGGCGCCTGGGGAGACGGCCTGCATGTGCGTGAGCAGGCCTCTGGTTTGATCCACCACCCCCTCTGCCCCTGGTGGCGGCGGGCTGGTGGGGAGGGCAGGTGGGATGGGAGGGAACAAGGACTGTTCACGACCAACCATCCACATGGCCTGGCGAGACGGCCTTCATGTGCGTGAGCAGGCCTCTGGTCTGATCCACCACGCCCTGCGCCCCTGCTGGCGGTGGGCTGGTAGGAGGTGATGCCGGGAGGGGGAGAAGAAATGGAGAAAACGAAGAAGGCAGCAAAACGAGTCAGGGCAGCTCACAAAAGATCCGGAGGGGTAGAGGCGAGGTGAGGGTGAAATGCTGCAGACATGCAGAGGGAGGCAGCGAAGGAAAAGAATTAGCATTTACATGCTATTGCATGCTTGCATGCCTCTCTTTTCAAATGCACCATCCATTGTCCACATGCTTCAATTCGTCCCCAAGTGCGGCACACGCTCTTGCCCTCGTCACAACCACAACCACATGCCATGGCATGACACGTTGCACTGCCACACACACACACTCACAGATGCGGCGAGCCCAGGGAGAGCAGCAGCGCCACGTCAGCATGGCCGTACTCCGCGAGGTAGAGGCGTGCCAGCCACCCGCCTGCTGAGTGCGCCACCAGTGACACCTGCGTGCTGCCTGAAAGACAGTGCAGGGGGGGAAAGGGGGTGGGGTGATAGGGAGAGAAGGGTGGTAGCAGACAGGCAGTCAAGCAGAGGGCCAGCCACCCGCCTGCAGAGTGCGCCACACGTGGGAGGCGCCTGGCAGGGGAGGGTGCCGAGGGGGGGTGGGGGGAAGGAAGGACAACTCTTTGAGAGAGCTCCCTTGTAAAAAAAGCCAACAGCAGCGTGAGATGTGATCACAGGGGGTCATTGTGGGGGTCATTGCGGGGGCCATTGCGGGGGCCATTGCGGGAGTCATTGTGGGGGTCATTGAGGGATGAAGTGCAGAATGGACGTCTGGAATGGATGTGCTCGGGAGAAGGATTGGTTGTATTAGAGTGAGAATGACCTCAGGCACCATACGCCAACCAACATCACACAACCAATCCCTGAGGGAGGAAGCCCCACATGCCCGAGGGAGCAACCACATAATGCGCTTGAGTTTTTTAGGGTCGTAACCAGTACAGTACATAGCAAACATGGCCTAAATGACAAAGCCACTTGGTTTACGCTATGTGTAGTGAGTCGATTTTTGAGTCGACTCAAAAATCGGTTTACGCTATCCAGCGTTCCGGACTTTGCCAAGGATTGCTTCCCAGGTGGTGTGCCCAGGTGCATCAGGTTCCACGTACACACCGCGAATCCGTTCTGCCTCGTTTGCCGCAGGATGAGGATATTTCCGGCATGTGTGATGCTGATTGGCGCGATATTAAAGGGCAGAATCGAACACTTCCTCCAATTGGGGTGTTCTCCGGAGGCCATGGCGAACGAATTGAGTTGCTGAGAGTAGACATGAGCAGGATCTCGAACACCTGTTCGGTTCGCCTCACACATGTTCGAGGCGAACCGAACTAATTTTTTTTTTGGAAAAAATAGTTCGAGGCGAACATGTTCGGTGTTCGCCCGAACATGTTCGCCGTTCGCCACCTCCATTTGGTGGAGTGTGGACGAACACGAACATGTTCGAGTTCGTCCAGTGGATGACGCGAACACTAAAGTGTTCGCGTCAAATTTGGCCGCGACCAAATTTAGGTCGCGGCCAAGTTGAGTTTGAGCTCATTTTTTGAGCTCAAACTCAACACATCTTTGTTGGTTAGCCCTCCCTCCCTCACCCACCATAGGCTTCATCCCTAAGAGCCACCACACACCGTTCCCTAATTATTACACGAACATTTCAACTAAGTAGTTCGTAGTAGTGAAGGGTAATTTCACAAATCGCGAGGGGTTAGTTCGTAGTAGCTACAGGATCAATTTCGTAGAGGCTAATTCCCTAGTTGTAGGGGCGGCATTTCTCCGTGCCACACGTAACTAGGAGTTCAATTAGGACCGTGCTATCCGTGGCTTGCGATCGTTCCTTTGGGGTTTTAGGGTTTTAAGGCCGAGGGCTGATTTATGGCTTCCAGCCAACATTGATCTGTAGAACGAGGTGCACGCAGCGCTCAGGGCGGTACACCAGGTTCTCCACCACGACCTATGCAGGGGCGAGTAGGGGATGGACCTGCAGGAGCCGGCACTTGTTTCGTCGGGGGGTTTCTTTCCGTAGCGGCGCCGACGTCCCGTCACTCGTTCCGTTACTCAGGCCCGCGACCCCCTCCTTCTGGGCAGACGCAGCCGGAGAGTGGCAGTGGGGAGGAGGATGAGGAGGAGGAGGGTGAGGGCGAGGAGGATGAGGACTATGAGGGGAGCGGGGATGACAGTGAGGCCGGGTGGGATCCCGAGACGCATGGCGGTGGGAAAGGGGGGGATGATGAGGAGGACCATGAGATGGATGGGTTGGAGCCAGAGGAGGTGGAGGAGGGGGTGGGAGAGGGTGGTGAAGGGGCGGCGACAGAGGCGGCCTCACAGCATGTGGCTGAAGGAGGAGGGAGCGTGGGGGTTAAGGTGGGGAGAAAGCGGGCATCCATTAGGATGCCGAAGCGGAGGAAGAGGGCGAGCAAGTTGAGGGAGCGAGCATATCCCTGCACATTCACTGGGAAGCCCTTGGGCGCGGGTGTGGTCGCTCCGGAGTTCCTAGACGAGGACGGAGGGTCCGAGAGTAGTAAGGGGACTGGCAAGGGTAATAAAAAACCGGGGTGGCAAGTACAGATGTTCGGGCCTAAAGGGGCAGACGAGAAGCGTCAGTGCAAGATTTGCACTGACAGGATTTCGTGGAAGCAATCCACAACAACACCCAGCGAGCGGCACTTCGAGAGCTACCGCACAGCGCACATGCACGTGTGGCATCACCGTTACCACACTTCGTCCGTTCACTTGCCTGGGGAGACGTTTCCTCGTGGGGGCTACAAGGGTGTGCCGGATGGCTACGTCGATGGGTGGCCGCATGCCAAGTCTTGGCCGCATCTCGCAAAGAAGAAAGAGACGGCGTCCGGTGGAGCTGAGGGGTCAGGCGGGATGGAGCGGTTCATGACAACCAAGCTGTCCATGGAGGAGCTACGGCAGGCGATCGCCAAGCTGGTGGTCACCTGCGACCTCCCCTTCCGCATCGTCGAGTCCGAGGCCGTGAGTGTCCCATGCCTGGTGTTTTGGCAGCATGTGGTTGACTATTTCATGCTTCTATCGTAATCCACCATTCAAATGTCCACCATTCACATGTCCACCATTCATATGTCCACCACCATTCACATGTCCACCATTCACTCACATGTCCACCATTCACATGTCCACCATTCACATGTCCACCATTCACATGTCCATCATTCACATGTCCATCATTCACATGTCCACCATTCACATGTCCACCATTCACATGTCCACCATTCACATGTCCACCATTCACATGTCCATCATTCACATGTCCATCATTCACATGTCCACCATTCACATGTCCACCATTCACATGTCCACCATTCACATGTCCACCACCATTCACATGTCCACCATTCACTCACATGTCCACCATTCACATCTCCACCATTCACATGTCCACCATTCACATGTCCATCATTCACATGTCCATCATTCACATGTCCACCATTCACATGTCCACCATTCACATGTCCACCATTCGGATATCCACCATTCACAGTTGTCTCTACTCTACCCTCCTCCAGTTTCGGGAGCTATTGATCCTGCTAAACCGCAACTGCGCACAGAAGAACTTCATCCCCTCGCGGTGGACGGTATCCCGCGACATTGTGGTCTATGCAACAGCAGCTCTCCAGTCCGCCATTGCGGAGATGCTGGCGAAGGAGGGGGAGTTAGGGTGCAAGGTGTCGATCACTATCGACATGTGGACAGCACCCAACAACAAGGCATGGCTAGTGGTGACTGGTCACTGGATAGACGAGAACTTCCAACTGCGCACAATGGTGCTTGAGTTCCATGAGATGCTCGGGCGGCATGGGGGCAGGGAGATGGCGCAGGTGGTTGAGGAGACGATTGTGCAGTGGGGGTTGGAGGGGCGTTGTCTTGGTTTCACGACAGACAACGCCTCTAGCAACATTGCCGCCTTCAGGCGGATGTCGGAGGAGGGTGGTGGTCAGTGCTTCTTCAACTCGCGCATGCACTTCCGGTGAGTCTGGGAGTGTGCGTGGGTTGGGTGTGTGGGAGTGTGGGCGTGTGTTTGCCTTTGTGGTGTGTCGTTCCAGCATGGACAATTTGTAGTTGTATGGAGGGGTGGGCCGGTGCGGTTCGAGTTGTAGGGTGTGTGGGGTCTGGTATGGGTTTGTGGCTCACTCTAACAATGTGTCCTCCAACTTCCCCTTATCTTTTTCCCAATGTTGTGTTCCGTGCGCAGGTGCTTGGCACATGTGATAAACCTTGCAGTGCAGGCAGCACTGGCTGTGGATTCCATACGGAAGTTGCTGAAGATACTGAGAGAGATGGCGTCGTGGATTGGCTTCTCTCCACAGCGCTCGGGGTCTTTCTTGGGCCTACAGCGGACGTTGAACTCGCAGGCCAACCCCGCCACGCCGAAGCCGGCGTTGAAGCTGGTGCAGGACAGTCCTACGCGCTGGGGGTCGACCCACGACATGGTCGAGCGTGCGGCTGTTCTGCAGAACCCCATCACTGTCTTCTTCGCCCAGACACAGGTAACACTTGTGTTTTGTGTGGGTTGTAGTGTGTGGTTATGTCATGGTGTGGTGTGGTGTGTTAGCACGTCTACACAATACTGTTGGTCATGCTTGTATGTTGCCGGCCGGATGCCATAATCCTCCTCCATAATCACAGTTTCCCTCATACCTCCCCCCAAACCATTCCCTCTACCCGACAGGGCTTGTCGAAGACCGACAAGAAGAAGGTGGAGAGTTTGCGCCTGACAGACGCAGACTGGGAGACCCTGCAGGCGGTGAAGACATTCCTAAGCCCCTTCGCCAAGGTCTCCAAGGCAGCAGAGGGGGCGGCGTACCCGACTGTGTCGATGGTGGTGCCATACTACAACGGCCTGATCGACGCCATGGAGTCGCGCCTTGCCAAGGGGCCATCTCCGACGCTGCAGCCGATGATCGTGGCGACGCTGAGCCACTTGAAGAAGTACGCCTACATCACCAGCAACGAGTACTGGATCGCCACCTTCTTGGACCCTTCCATGAAGGCGGCATGGTTCGACGACGCGCACTGGGAGAAGCTGCATCCCGAGACCGACAGGAGGGTGAGGCCGCGTCCGGCGTCTGGCGAGGTGATCAAGCTGGTGCGCGACCGCGTGGCCGAGTACCAGGCCCGGGCTGCAGAGCTTGCTCCACGGCCGACCCCACTTGCCCCCGTTGCGGAGGAGGAGGAGGGAGACGAGGAGGAGGACGACGATGACGCGCAGTTTCTCCCTAGTCGCCGACGACTTGCGGCGCGTCTGTCGGCGAGCCAGGATGCGGGGGCGGGTGGGATGGTGCAGGACGACGAGGTTAGCAGGAACTTGTCCGAGAGGGTGCGGTGCGACGTGACAGCGCTAGAGTACTGGCGCAGTGCCACCAACATGCAGACGCTGAGGCGCATGGCCCGGGATTATCTCGCCATCCCTGCCACGTCCGCTTCGAGTGAGCGGGTGTTCTCCCTTGGTCGCAACCTCATTTCCTGGAAGCGGCACCGCCTGGCCTCTCAGAGGACGCGAGCTGTCATGATTCTCAGATCATGGTACAGTTCACACCCTGGCCAGAGGATAGGCGAGGGCCGCCGACCGAGAGGCGTCGCACCACCAGAGTTCGCCATTGAGGGCGAGGGGGCAGAGGAGGATGACGAGGAGGAGGAGGAGGAGGGTGTGGAGGCTGACGACACAGCTGGTGGAGAGGATGCTGTTGTTGGTAGTAGCAGTGCAGTGGCGCCTTAGTCACTTAGTGTAGGAATTTGTTAGACTTTGACATTTCTCTTCACAGTATGTGATGTTGTACTATTGGGTTCGTTGCATGCACACATATACACCCTGCACACATTTTGCTATCATCCTGAACCTTGAAATCTGTTTTCTGACATGTGTGACTACAGTGAATTTTCCCCTGGGCGAACACGAACATGTTCGTCTCGAACATGTTCGTGTTCGCCTGCTGAAAAAAATCGTTCGCCACATAGGGCGAACGGCGAACACATACTTTCAGCGCTAAATAGTTCGCCGAACCGAACAGTGTTCGGTTCCGCAAAAGTACATGTTCGAGGGTGGGCGAACTCGAACTTCGAGTTCGCCCTTTGCTCATGCCTAGCTGAGAGGCTGTGCGGAGCTCGAGGTCAGAGTTAAGAAAAATGGACACATCGTCCGCATAGCATGCCATCGAGCACTGCTGATTGGGGGAGATTGCGAAACCGGGTAAGGCACAAGCAACATGACGCATGCATACCAAGAGGAGGGGGGCGAGGGGACACCCCTGTAAGAATGAAGGACTAGGGACGCAGAGGCACAGAGACCGAGAGTATGCAAACGCACATCCAATTCATACCCCACCTGAGCCTCTCATCCTCTCTGCCAACTCGAATGGCCGCATTGAAGCACTTGTAACCTCCATACCCCACCCTCTATACCCCACCCACCCACCACCCACCACCACTGCTGACCCACCAGTCGAGGATCGGGCGAGGCTTGAGTGTTCCCTTCCAATAGTCTGCCTGCAGCAACCCCGCAGCGTTCCGCAGCCAATCAGGTCGCGCCACGCGTGCCACCTCCGCCGCCACGCCCTGCGCCTCCAGCAGCGCGACGAGCTCCGCGTAATCCGCCGAGTTGTTGCCCAATCCCTGCTCGCCACGTGGCACGCACGTAGATGTCGAATGGACGGGGAGGGGAGCAGCTTGTAATGGAGAAATTCGAGCTCGCGGACAGGCGCGAAGACGCGAAAGGCGTGTTGCTATGGAAGAACGAACATCCCGTGATGCCATTCGAACATGGCGGAGATGTCTTCGAATGGCATCACGCGAAAGGCGTGTCGGCGCGTAGGTGGATGCGCACCGCGCATCCGATACGAGGAGGAGTCCTCGCATGTTCCTCGCATGCCATGCGAGCATGGAGCATACCGGCAGAATGACCACGGGACGAATCGCTGCTGTCGCCTCGCTGCTTTTTCCTTCCGGGACCACGCTTGATCCCGTTGCGCCTCCTGCCGCCGCTGCTCGTGCTCTGACAGCTTTCCGTCTCTCGACCGCGGCGACTTTTAGGGATGAAGATTTGCCGTCTAGCGAGCATCTCAGGCCATCGCACATGAAGAGGTTTGAGACCGGCCGTGCTGTGACGGAATCCGTGATCGGAACGGAATCAGTCCGTCGTGCGGTCCCGGGAAATAAACCGAAGCTGACGCTTCGGCTGCAGAGGCTGGTCGAAGAAGCCATCGGGCGAAACTGGAATTTGACCAAACTACGATGCCCTTGATCACTCCGGCCACCTTCCTTCGATTTTTGTTCCGGCGCAACGGGGGCGCTAACGGCGGAGTGGTTACAGCGAGGTGGGAATCGGAAAAGGAAGCGACGCCAAACAGGTTACAGAAAACGGTGAGGCGCTACTTGACTGCCAACCCCACTCTGGGCTCGACCGGAGCTATGCACAGCAGCTAAGTCGAGAGAGTGAGACGCGCAACAGAATTATGCTCTCAGCATCGCACTCTAGTCAAATCATGCTGCAGAGCGAAGATGCAGTGCATAACAGCAGACAAGCAGAGTGCATATCGTGCGTTCCGGTGCACTGGCGTGGCATGGAAGGAGTTGACGGAACTGCAAGCGGACGGGTCGTCTGGGACAACGGTTTTCGCTGCACAGACGTTCATCTGTCGTCGTTATTCGCGAATTCGTGTTGACGGCTCAGATGTAAATTCGCGTGCAGTAGACGGAAGTACTGACGAGAAACAGTCAGAAAGTTTTTCAGGGTAGACCGACCCGTAAACAAACGAGCTGAACCACAAACGCGGCCGGCCGAAACATGAATGAATGGGAAGGACGAACGAGCCGCGCATTTCTGTGAAAGTTGGACGACGACTGGCCCTCGTTTGCTCTGTATCCCAGCGAATGGGAGGTCGACACGCTGACGGGAAACCTTTTGTATTGTCAATGCGCGATGGCGCTTAGTGTGCACTATTCAATGATGCTACACCACGAATCGAATCTTACTACCAAAGAATGGCCGCATATTCCATCTTAAAATTAGCAAGCATTATCACAATGAATTGCCTAGCACTTTGCTTTCCTAATGCGGAACAAAGAAACATTACAGATCAAGGCAGATTAAGCTACACCATCCTGTTAGCACTATTACATCAGGCTTCAAATGCTACACACAATTGCCACAACCCAGCCCCACCCAGCCAACTGCAATTCCCCCATCACTGGGTGCTAAGTGGCAGATGGCACATGGCACATGCCCGGCCGGGCAACGGGTTTGCATACGTGCAGTGCTCGCACGACCAGTACGCCGTCTCTTCCCGATCCCTCCCTCCCGTATTCCCCACCGTCACTGCCGCTGCTGCCGCCGCAGCGGCCGCTTGCGACGACGACGACCGGAAAATACTCCCGCGGCTCGACCCGGCACCACTTCCACCACCCACTGCTGCTGCTCCCGCAGACGAACCACTTGGGCCTGCAGCAGAGGAGCCAGCAGCAGACGTGGAAGCAGTGGCGGCGGAAGCGGCAGTGGTACGGGAGCGGGTGCGCGCACCGAAGCGGGACTGGGAGATGCGTGAGGTGCTGGCGATGGCTCGCCCCGCTGCTGCTGCTGCGGCGGCAGCGGCAGCACGCGTGGAGGAGGCAGCTGTAGAGGCGTTCTCGACGTCTGCCAGACCGTTCTCGAGTGCTCTCACTAGGTTCTCGAAGTACGTGTGCGTCACACTGGTGGGTGGGGGACGGAAGGGAGGGTGGAAGGTAGGGAGAGTGGGGGGAAGGAGAGAATGAGGACCCTCACCAGGTTTTTAAAGTACGTGTGAGTCACACTGTGAGGGGGGGTGGGGGTGAAGGGATGGAGGGATAGAGGAAATGGGGGCCAAAGAGATGAGAGATGCTTGTGCGGTTGAAGAAGCGTTGAACCGGCGAGGGTGAGGGCAGCGCTAGCTGTAGGTGCAACTCATATCCCCAACTCGCACACCTTCTCTTCTCCCGTCAGAACCTTCCCTTCTCACCCTGTGAGTCCCACCCGCCAGACAGTAGATGCCGTGCAAGGGAGTGAGAGGCAAAAACGCGTGGCAAAGGTCACTCTCAGCTGCTTCACCATCCCTTCCATCATCTCTTCGAGAGCTGCTGTAAGCGCCTCAAGAGCCACCTATCACCACGGCTTACCACCCCAGTCTCACCTAGTAAGCCCCGCCAGTAGCGACCGGAAGTCATTGAAGGAAGTGGGAGGCGGGTCTCCATCATCACAGAAGTAGAGCTCGAGCTCCTTCTCCGCCATCTTGTGATCAGCACCTCCCCCACTCACATCCACCACCTTCTGCTCACAACCCCCTCCTCACTCACCTCGTCAATCCTGCCAGTCGTGACTGGAAGTCATTGAACGAGGTGGGAGGCGGGTCCCCGTCATCGCAGATGTAGAGCTCCAGCTCCTTCTCAGCCAACTTGTGCTCCCGTGCCTCATCTGCCCCTGCTTTCCTCACACACCTGATACTGCTCACTAACCCGCTGCCCCCTCACCTGGTCAGCCCCGCCAGCCGTGACCGGAAGTCGTTAAAAGATGTCGGAGGCGGGTCCCCGTCATCGCAGATGTAGAGCTCGAGCTCCTTCTCCGCCATCTTGTGCAGATTCTCCAGCGCCGCGTCCGCCTCGCCCTGCAGGTACTCAAAGAACTGCCTCCGCGCCACCTCTGCTTCCGGCAGGTAGTAGCCGTAGGCGTATGTCCACTTGAGGACTCTGCGACACTCCACCACCTGGCGAGGAAAGGAGAGATGGAGCAAGGGGGTGCAGATGGATCACGTGACGACCTCAGCCTCCGGCAGGTAGTAGCCATAGGCATATGTCCACTTGAGGACTCTGCGACACTCCACCACCTGCACGTGACCACCAGGGGTAAAAGCGATGGAGCAAACGAGTGAAGATGGTCTGATGTGGCACACAATGCCGCGTCCGCCTCGCCCTGCAGGTACTCAAAGAACTGCCTCCGCCACCGGTAGGTAGTAGCCATAGGCGTACGTCCACTTGAGCACTCGCCTGTACTCCAGCACCTGGCGAAGGGAGGGAAACGAGCGCAGTAGGAAAGAGCGAGAGCGAGGCAAGGGTTTGCAGAGCGTTTAAATAACCACCTATGCCTCTAGCAGGTAGTATCCATACGCATACGTCCACTTGAACACCCGCCTGTACTCCATCGCCTGGGTGGTAAGGAGAGGGGTGGGGAGGTTTATGAGCGCAGCAGGAGAGCGGGAAGTGAGGGGGTGTACTCCACCTGTCAAAGATGGGGTGGACGGGGAGAAGAAAGGACCGCCACTTCACACGACCACGCTTGCTTCACTCCACCACCTGATATGGCGTAGCCAAAGGACGGACACGATACGAGTGCAAAGGGCCAGACAGACATGCCAGACGGAAGCAACGATTGTGAGGAAAGGAGTATTCCATCTGTGCATCCTCACCTGCAGCCATGCATACAGCGATGCATGACATAGGCAGCTGAGAAATACCTGCAGCCATGCATACAGCGATGCATGACATAGGCAGCTGAGAAATACCTGCAGCCATGCATCAATGACGAACTTGAGTTGCGAGACGGGCTGGCTGTGGCGCTCACTCAGTTGCTCTATCTGCCATGCCCATACACCCACAGCACGACAGGCACACCCCCGCAATGCAGAGACAGGAGTCAGCAACGTCATGAGACCATCGTGAGACACACAGCATCGTTTGAGAGCCAAGAGCCAAGAGCCAAGAGCCAAGAGCCAAGAGCCAAGAGCAGGCAGTGAAGCATACCCCTGGAAACAATCATCATCAGACTGCCTGCCCCATGCCATACCTTGACGGTTTGCATCTCCCGCAATGACTCCAGCGCCTTTACCCTCGACTGGAGGGGCAGCACACATGGCAGGGGTGAGTGGGAGTGAGAGTGAGAGGGGATTGAGAGAGAGTGAACGTGTGTACAAAATTACAGTGCTGGCGGGTAGCTTTGGAAAGCAAGAGCAGGCGACGTTTAAGGAGGCACTCATTCGAACAATTCATTAGGGTTACAACCTTTCGTCACCGAAGCATCATCATCATCATCATCGTGTTGGTTCCATTCCCATCATTGTGTCCTTCATTCATGTTTGCTGTGCTGCATTCAAGCGACTCCCACCCAGGCCACGTCTCCTCCCCCGCGCGCCTACCCACATCTATATGAAGGCACCGAGAAGGTTTAACAGGACTCCGAGTGCAAGTACGCGTTACCAGACATGCTAGGCTTGTTGTGACGGAGGCCATATATCCCACCGGCACCGGCTCACTTGTGGCCCATTAGCCACACTCAGTAGTGTGTTACTTCTCCTCACCGCTTTACCACCCATTGCCCCACCCCCACCCCACCTGCTCGTTAGCAGCCCAGCGCTCGTAGTAGTGGGTGTACTTCTCCAGTGAGTCCTTTGCCATCTCCCCCCCACTCCCCCACTCCTCCCTCTAAAAGGGTTGCCACCTACCTGCGCATTGCCCATGCCCTCTCCCTCGCACCCCACCTGCTCGTTAGCGGCCCAGCGCTCATAGTAGTGGGTGTACTTCTCCAGTGAGTTCTTCGCCATCTCCCTGCGCCTCTCCGTCTCGTCGTACTGCCGCCACCACAGGCAGGAACGCAACGCACGCAATCAGGAGAATGGAAAGCGTGAGGGAGGGGGGTGGATGTGGTGGTGAAACAACAGGAGGGGCCGGAGGAAACATGAGAATGCATGGCAGAGAAAAGGCGAGGAAGGGGTGGTGAGCTCACCACGCCCTCGTGCTTGGCTGACTCGTATCAGTTGCACGCGCGTGGTGGTGGTGTGGTGGTGGTGGGGTGGTGGTGGGGTGGGGGGGAAGGGGACGGTTGGGTGTGTGAGCAGTGGCAGTGAGCTCACCACGCCCTCGTGCTTGGCGGACTCGTATCGGTTGCATGCGTAGAAGCCACCTGTCTTCTCCCCATGCTCCGACCATGCACCTAGACACAGCCTGGGGGGACGGCACGGTGAGGGGCATGGTGGCGGCAGTCGGCAGAGATAAGCAGAGAAAGGATTAATCCCAGAAACAAAAAAGAGCAATAATCAAACAAGAAAACGACAGGGGAACACAACAGAAGCCCTTCTAGGGGTTCATATCACACAGACCCCCCACACACAAACGCCCTGGTTCGAATCAGGAATAACAAGTCGTGTTTTGCGAGCAGGCCGGGGCAGGGCGGGGGACCCACCAGCAGAACTCGTATTTGCAGGGAGGCGTGCAGGTCATGTGCATGCACCCCTGATTCTTCTCTATGGGCCGCTTGCACTTGGGACACGACTTGGAATTCGCCAAAATCCTGCCAGCCAGGCAGGGCAGCACGGTGTGGTGCGGGTTTAAGGGACATGTGTGGTGGGGGTTAAGCGGGAAGGACACGACTTTGAGTTCTTCTCTATGGGCCGCTTGCACTTGAGACACGACTTTGAATTCACCAGAATCCTGCCAGGCACGGGTTGAGGAGGATCGATTCCGAGGGCAGGTGTGGGTGGGGGGTACAAGGGAAGGAGGGCAGCACAGAACAGGAGTTTCAGTCCCAATAGAATTGATGCCAAAAACGAAGGGGAGGGGGGGGGGGGGGGGGGGAGGTGAAGAACGCAAAGAGAAAGCAAGGCCGATACTCCTTGATTGATGCGTCAGCCATACCAGTTCATGTTTTCTGATTCGGCGCTGTTCTTGAGGATCCACTTGCCCACCGTCTCACAGTCCACCGGCCGATGCGCCTCCTCCAAACACTGCCGGGCGACGGAGGGAAGGGCAGGGGCACACAGTGGGAAGTGGGAGTGTGTGATCATTCGTGGGATGGAAAGTGTGTGAGAGAGAAAGAGGCAATGACGACTCCACTTGCCCACCGTCTCACAGTCCACTGGCCGATGCGCCTCCTCCAAACACTGATGGGGCATGGAGAGAAGGCAAGGGCATGCGGCGAGTGACAGAGAGAGACGTGCAAGAGTGAATGGGAAATGAGGACTCCAGCACAGCACCCACTAACACACCGTCTCACAGTCCACTGGCCGATGCGCCTCCTCCTCCAAACACTGCCGGGTGATGAGCGGAGGGAAGGCAGGGCCAGGCGGTGAGTGAGAGGGGATTCTGGTGGAAGAAAAGAGCACCTCATCTAAACACTGTCAGCAGCGGCGTGAAACGGGTGTGAAGAAGCAATGCTGGGGAAGAGAGAGGGCGCATGGGAACATGCTACAGTCGGTTAAATGAGTGGTGGGGGAGAGGGAGGAGAGAGGGGAGGGAGAGGGAGGGAGGGAGGGAGGGAGGGAGGGAGGGAGGGAGGGAGGGAGGGAGGGAGGGAGGGAGGGAGGGAGGGAGGGAGGGAGAAAGGGAGGGAGGGTGGGTGGGAAATAGGGAGGGATACCATGGGCGGGAAATGTGGGAGTGGGAGAAGGGTGTGTGGGATGGTGCAGGGCAGGGCAGGGCAGGGCAGGGCAGGGCAGGGCAGGGCAGGGCAGGGCAGGGCAGGGCAGGGCAGGGCAGGGCAGGGCAGGGCAGGGCAGGGCAAGTGCGGACTGACATTCCAGCAAAAGGCGAAGGAGCACTTGCAGATGACGTCGTAGTGCGTGGAGTCCGGTAGATACTCCACTGCGTACTCACAGCCTGGCGCTGGGCACCACTTGGCCTGTGGAGGACAGTAGCAGCAGGAGGAAACAGGGAAGGTGGAAGGGTGGAGCGGGAAATGAGGAGTACTTCGAGTCGACTCAAAACACGACACCCAGAAGGCAGGGCACCACTTTGCCCGAGGGTGGGAAGGGGGGAGAAGGGGGGGGGCGAAGGAAGAGAAAAAAAAGACATACTCACAACCCTTGGCCTGAGCCTAAGTTGGAATAAACGCGTTTAGCGTTTTGTACGCTCTCGTATATACGCGAGAGTATATACGCTAGACGCTGGCCATGAGGGGTCTGGTACGTACAAGAATACACTTGCCCGGGCAGGGAAAAACTTTTTCCCGGGCAGATTTTTGGGGTAAGAGGTGGGGATGGGGGGGTGATGTCCGCTTATTAATATGAAAGTTACAGAAAAAAAAAAAACCCGTAAAACTAATTTACCACTACATCTTCCTCCACCACATTCATGCTACCACCCCTCCCCCTACTCTGCATGTCCATCCTTAATCCCCCGCCTGCCGCTCATGCATGGAGCCTTCCGCTAGTACTCATCGGCCATCACATCATCCTCCCCCACCTCAGGTTCTTCCACCTCCTCCTCGACGTTGTAGCCAGCCGGAGTGGGGGGGTCCTCGATGTTTCCCTTCACCACCCGCTGCCCTTCAGGGACCTTGTGCCAATTATGCACAACCTGCTAATTGTGCGTCACGTACATGAGGTCCCGAAGCTTCTCCGCGCCGAGCCGGTTCAGGCGTGCCGTATGCACGGCATCAAACTTCGCCCAGTTCCGCTCGCATGGTGACGCAGACACCGGCTGCGTGAGGGCGCGTGGTGGTGAGCTCCGGATGTTCGGTCCCATGCCACGACCACCAGGCCACCGCGGTCATCTTGCCCTCCTTCACTGCCGCACGGTCGGCAAGAGCGGCGGGCATGCCGAAGCTGCCTTGGAGGTTTAGGAAGGCATTGAGGCCTTCCTGGATGACGAGAAAGGCGCGGCGCTCGACCCCGTCTTTCCTGGTGACTGTCTGGTCGTCATAGTGCTTGGACACGTACTGTTTGAAGATCCTCGTGCACTCCAGATCGGTGCGGAAGATGCCCTCTTCCTGGTTGGGGGGGTTGAGGATGCGGCCAATCACGTGCATGTTGCACGCCAGCCCATTGTCCCAGCGGTCCTGCACGATCTTCCGAATCTCCCCCACCTCTCCCCTTGACAGGACCCCTTCTGCATGCTCGTCAAGGAAGTCGCGGATGTCCTCGGTGAGCTGGAGCATAAGGTCGTAGAGACGACCCATCATGCCCTTCGCATCCGAGTCAGTCTTGCGCATGACGACGAACGGGAGCTTCATCAGCTTCGTGAAGAACTCGGCGCGCGCCCACCACGTGGCATCGAGGATGTTGTCTTTGAAGGTATCTGCCCCAACCCTCTGTGTCAGGCCGGCGCGCACTTCACAGAGGCGGTTAATGGCGGTGTAGTTGGTGCCGAATCGGGTTCCCGCGGGCTTGTAGCTGTTTCCCTTTGCCGCCGTTCACGAGCTCTCTCCGCATGTATCCACGGGTGAAGTGATGGTTGCGGACGAACGAGATGAGGGTGTCCCCGCGCGTGACGATGTCCTTCGCCCATCCCATTTTCCCGATGTCTTCCATCAGGAGATCAAGGACATGGGTCGCGCAAGGGATGTGTTCGATGTGGGGATACTCCGTCATCAACTCCCTGCATGCCGCCGCGTAATTGGAGCCGCCGTCAAAACACAAGGCAACGACGTTCTCGGGGCCAACTTTCTCGATGATGGGGCGCAAGATGCCCGCAATGTAGCCGCCGGTCTTCATCTCCATCTTGGTGTCGATCGACTCCACGAACACCGCTCCACTATCGTTGATGAGGAGCACATTGGCTTGCAGGCGGCCGGCCTTGTCAGAGAACATGTCGCTTGCCACGGTGACACCATCACGGCGCCAGCTTGTTGAGATAGGAGCGAGAGCCGCCTCAATGCGCTGGCGACACTTTGCAAGACCGACGCCACCGATGTAGCGTCTCTTCGGCGGGATGTAATTCTGCCCCACGCGCTGGATGCTTGAGACTACATTCCGCCACAGTGGGTGGTCCGCGTGATGCTCCGGCAGATGAAGAGCGGCGAAGAAGAGGCATATGGACTCGTCCGCAGCTTGGTTCGCGCACGCGGCGTCATCGCCGTAGAAGTCGGACATTCGACTTCTTGTCCGAACCTCCGCCGTTGACTGCGCCGACCGCCGCAATTTCAGCCGCACGCTTCTCTTCACGGACCTTCAACTTGGACTCGTAAAGCGCCTTCGCGGTGTCACGTGCAGTCTTCGGCGCTGCAGTGCAGAGATGCACTTCGCGACGGCGCATGCCGTTCCAGCCGGTGATATGCTGCGCGCAGCGGTAAACCCCGCCAGCGAACTTGAAGTTGCAGTAGGCACACACCTTGGTGTCGTTCTCGCCAACGCTGTCGGCCGGCACTTTGAAGTGGCGGTACACAGCGTGCTTGCTGTCCATGCAGACCAAAGCCGTAACAGAAGAGGTCCCTCCAGTGGAACTACCAGGAGCATCTGAAGGTGTAGAACGAGAACTTGTTGCTGTAGGAGTAGCAGCCATGGTGGCTGGGGAGAAGAGGTCGCTAGAATAGGAAGCGAGAGAATGAATGTCGAGTGAACAAATGCCACTCTTTATGCCTGGGAGATTGGGTTGGGTTGAGCTCCCAACCAATAAAGTAGTGGTTGAAGGGGGTGGTGGAATGCTGTGGTTTAAAGGGGTGTGAAACAGTGGAGGGGTGGGGTTGAGGAGGTTTGGAGTTTAAAATTCAAAATTCGAGTTCAGTTCGCGACATCTGCAACTCGAAATAGAGATCGCCACGTCGCGAGATTTAGATTGAAATTTTGTTTTTTTTTTCGGTCTGCCCGAAATTCTACTCGGCGAATTTTCAAATTACACGCAGCGTACAAATTCGTTAAGCGTATAAACGCAAAACGCAAAAGCAAAGTAGCATATATTCTAACTTAGGCCTGAGCCAGCCATAAGGGAAGGGAAACGGGATGGAAAGAGGGAGTTGTTTGGAGGAGAGGGAGAGTGGCAAAGGCGTTTTAAGGTGAGAGACCAGTCGAATGCGATCCTTGCAGAGGGTACAGGGCCGACTCCAAAGACCAGTCGAGTGGGTACAGCGTGAAGGTGAACCAACCCAGCCCAACACAGCACAGCACATCCCTCACAATGCAACAACTGTCACACTCACATTGCGTTTAACATCCACACATAGGAGCGCAGCAGGTACTTGAGGTACTTGGCGCGCAGGGCGTGTAGCGGCCCTTTCAAGAGTGGCACTCAGCCGCACACACAGCAGCACAACCAGCCCCACCAGTTCCCTGTCCCACTCACATTGCGGTTGTCATCGACGTAGGAGAGCAGGAGGTACTTGAGGTACTTGGCGCGCAGGGTGTTTAGCAGCCCCACATTACATCTCTCAGCCATAACCCACTCACATTGCGGTTGTCATCCACATAGGAGCGCAGCAGGTACTTGAGGTACTTGGCGCGCAGGGCGTCCGGCAGCGACGCCAGCACGAGCTTCTCCCCCACCGCTGCTCCACACGACGGGTCCGGACAGCGCAGACAGAGGCACCCCGGCCCATCCGCCACCGCTGCCTTGGCGTAGCCTGGAGGAGGGGAGGGGAAGGACGGGGGGGAGGAGAGGAGTGGTGAGGAGCAGCATACATGCCCTTCCTTCTCCTCCACCGCTGCGCCACACGAGGGGTCCGGGCAGCGCAGACACAGGCACCCCAGAGAGGGGGAAATTCAGTAGGAAAAAAAAAAAAGGGACGGCAAGGGAAGGGGTTGCGAGATGTTGATGATGATTAGTGATAGCTAGCACCACACACCTCGCACCTGGTGAGCAGCACACAGCACTGACCTTGCCAGCAGGCGTCACAGAAGAAGTGGTCGAAGCACTCTGCAGGCTTCATGGCCGCCTGGGGGTAGCTCTCAAAGCAGATGCCGCATGTCAGGTGCGGCTGACAGGGACAGGGAGGGGCCGGGAAGGAGGAAGGGGGACATGAGGAAGGGGGACATGAGGAAGGGGGACATGAGGAAGGGGGACATGAGGAAGGGGGACATGAGGAAGGGGGACATGAGGAAGGGGGACATGAGGAAGGGGGACATGAGGAAGGGGGACATGAGGAAGGGGGACATGAGGAAGGGGGACATGAGGAAGGGGGACATGAGGAAGGGGGACATGAGGAAGGGGGACATGAGGAAGGGGGACATGAGGAAGGGGGACATGAGGAAGGGGGACATGAGGAAGGGGGACATGAGGAAGGGGGACATGAGGAAGGGGGACATGAGGAAGGGGGACATGAGGAAGGGGGACATGAGGAAGGGGGACATGAGGAAGGGGGACATGAGGAAGGGGGACATGAGGAAGGGAACTTGACAAGCAGATGGCCAGACGAGGCAGAGAAGGGAGATCGACAGGGGCATGGGGATAGGGAAGAGAGCGATGAGCAGAGTGACCCACAGCACGGCGCCTGGTGAGATGGGAATGAGCGGAATGAGAACAGAAATCTATGCACCATCATCCGCCATTGACCCACCAGGCAAGCATCCACCACACATCCATCAACCATCCACCATCCATGCACCAGCCATGCACCATGCATGCACCATTCATGCACCAGCCATGCACCAGCCATGCACCAGCCATGCACCAGCCATGCACCATCCATGCACCATTCAAGCACCATCCATGCACCATTCATGCACCACCATGCGGGTTATAAACATCCGTACGGAGTGCCACAAACCCACATTGACCACAGCCGCACCACATCTGCACTACCTGACCCGCACTCGCCCTACTCCTCCTCCGCCTCCTCCACCCATTTGCCACCTTTCCTCCCCTCCCCTCAATCCCCTCCCTCCCCTCCCTCCCTCACCACGCATCCATCCACCATTCATGCACCATCCATGCACCATCCATGCACCATCCATGCACCATCCATGCACCATCCATGCACCATCCATGCACCATCCATGCACCATCCATGCACCATTCATGCACCATCCATGCACCATCCATGCACCATTCATGCACCATCCATGCACCATCCATGCACCATCCATGCACCATCCATGCACCATCCATGCACCATCCATGCACCATCCATGCACCATCCATGCACCATTCAAGCACCATCCATGCACCATTAATGCACCATTCATGCACCATCCATGCACCATCCATGCACCATTCAAGCACCATCCATGCACCATTCATGCACCACCATGCGGGTTATAAACATCCGTACGGAGTGCCACAAACCCACATTGACCACAGCCGCACCACATCTGCACTACCTGACCCGCACTCACCGTCCTCCTCCTCCGCCTCCTCCACCCATTTGCCACCTTTCCTCCCCTCCACTCCCCTCCCCTCAATCCCCTCCATCCCCTCCCTCCCCTCCTTCCCCTCACTCCTTCCACCCCATCCCACCCACCACAGCACGGCAGAGCCTCACCTCGGGCTCCTTGCCGGGGCGGCGGTTGGAGGCGGAGGAGGCGGAGGGGGAGTGCACTACCTCACTCACCACGTTTCCTCCTCTTGCTCACCTCGCCCCCTCACGCCCTCCATCCCACCCCACAGCACGGCAGCGCCTCACCTCGGGTTCCTTGCCGGGGCGGCGGTCGGAGGCGGAGGAGGAGGAGGGAGAGTGCGGGCGCGGCAGCCCCACCGCCTTCCTCACGCGGTCCTCGTCCTGAAACCACTCGTCGTTCACCTGACTCACGCTCCTGGGGGAGCACGTGCAGGAAAAGCAGAAGCGGGTCAAGAGGGCAGGGGGGCAAGCGAACAGGGGCAAGGGTAAGATACCAGAAATCTCAAATGGCCATCAGTGAGACCACCATTCGCTTCACCACTTAAGGAGACTGACCATTTGACGCCCCGACTGATTAGTTGAAATGCCAGAGACAGGGTGACTAATACGAAGTGATTGACATGACCAGGTTCTGACATTTCAGGTAACTGACATTTCAAGTGACTTCCCAATTTGAGTAACTGACAACTCAGGTGACAGATAATCACTAATTTAAGCGACCGACCATATCGTACTATAACCGCTTGAAGGGACTGCCAAATTGAGGCGACTGACCAGACCAATCAAGTGACCTACCATTTGAAGTGGCGGAGCAGGATGGCGGCGTCGTCCATGGGGATGGAGAGCACCGTCGCCACGTCGCCGGTCGCCTCCTGCTGCCGCTGCAGAATGTCCTTCTCCGACAGAATCTTGTACCGCACCTGCTCCGTGTATTGCAGAGTCCATTTCGCATATGATAGGAAATAGGAAGAAGGAGCACAACGGGCTGCCGATATTGAGTCGACTCAAAAGCCTCCTCCTGCTGCTGCAGAATGTCCTTCTCCAAGAGAATCTTGTACCGCACCTGCTCCGTGTATTTGATATTTCGAATTCGCATATGATGAAAAATGGGAAGACGAAGAAGAAGATGAAGAGGACAAATGGCCTACCGTTCTCGTATGCGTCAACGAGGTGGTGGATGTGAACGAGTAGGCACGTCGATATTGATAACCACAACTTTCTAATTTCACGAATAACGAGCAAGGCGAGGCGCTCCAGAGCACATCAACGCCTGGCCACCAGAATCGGAATTCGTCCATTGAAGCATCTAAAATTAACCCTAGCCGGACCTGTCTGGGTCGCAGCACGGGATCGTCGTCGTCGACGTCGTGACGAGTCGACTCAAAAGTCTCCTAAAATGACCCTAGCCCCACCTGCCTGAGTCGCAGCCTTAGCCCTACCTGTCGTAGTCGCAGCCCTTTCCCCCACCTGTCTGGGTCGCAGCACTGGATCGTCGTCGTCGACGTCAGGATCATCGAAGCCATAGTCATCGTCGTCGTCCGAGTCGTCCCCTTTGAGAAGTCTCAACAGTGATTACCGAAATTCGCCTACTCGAGCACAATAAAAGGCCCTAACCCCACCTGTCTGGGTCGCAGCACGGGATCGTCGTCGTCGACGTCGGGGTCGTCGAAGCCATAGTCCTCGTCGTCGTCCGAGTCGTCCACCTGCTCCTCCTCCTCCGAGTCCTGGTAGTAGTCCTCCTCGCTGTCCGACATTTTAATTAGCCGGAAAACGAAGAAAATAAAAATTTATAGGGATGAACGCCGCTTCTTATAACGAAATACCGATCGAGGATACTTCGGGTACAAGCTGGAAGCGGTCGGGTGTGAAACTGGAAATACTCGTGCAAGGAATGCTAAACGGAGCGAAGCAAAAAAAATCGGTCGCTTATTTGCGCTTGCCGTATTCCTCTAAAGCACTGTGGTACTCTGCAAAACCAGGATCTAGCCTTATTCCGCAGCATAAAGTATGTCAAGCGTCAGATTTCTAGGCCTTATTCCGTCGCAGTCACTAATATCGCTGGCGAAATCTGGCGTTGGTTCACTTCTAGCAACTAGGTCTGCGGGTCAGACTTGAGATTCGATAGTCCCGCAGAATCGTCAATCACCTGGCTCGTCGCAACTAGGTCAGTCAAATACTGGTGACCGATGGCCACACAAGGACAGTGAGGAAGGGACGGACTGAATCCAAAGCAAGCCCCTTTCTCTGGTGCACTCTACTGTTGCGCAGCTCAAGACTCGTGGGCTATATTGGAGCACACAAGAAGCTATCTCTGACTCGCACAGCTTCGGCCATTCGCGCTGCATCCCTTCCTTTCCCCTTGCCTAGACGATCTCTGAGTTCACGTAACACGTTACATGTGGCGTGTGATTGCGAGCGACGCTTGAGTGCCGTACAAGCGACGGCTGGCGAAACCCTAGACCTTCGTGCATGCGTTGTACCCGCTTCTGCAACTTCGACTAAAAAGAAGGGGGTGAAGGTCCAACGGATATTCTTCGATACTTCCGTAAGCTACACTCCAACTGCATTCATTATGTGAACTACATCCCAACTAGATTTATGCAAAATTGCAATAATGCCAATGGGAGCCCAAATCGTGAAGTCTTCAAAGCAAAGGGGATGGACAAAGCTGAACCGTTATTGTTTCGCTTTTTGACGTTCCACATGGACTGGCTGGCGTATCCACGTTGAGAAATCAACCTCCGCCGCGCCAATTTTTCACCAACTCCCTTCACTCTCTAGTTTCCCCAGAGCACCACCTATATCGTAGCACCACCAGCCACCTTTCCACCTGTTGGCTGCGTATGGTACTTTCGTATCCTAGCAGCCCTTTTTCTGATCATCTCACGCTCCTCCTTTTCCATCTCCTCCTTCCTCCGCCACTCATCCCTCACCTCCTCCGCACTCCTATACAGCTCCTCCACATAGTCCGGCCGAAACCGCTTGTCGCTGTGGCCCTGGTTCCCCTTGAGAGCATTCGTCCTCACAAACCCAATGTGCTGGAAGAGCGATGGGATGTGCACATACGCCCTCGGACGTCGCCCTTCACCAGCACCACCACCCTCACTATCACCCAAGCCACCACCTTTACCACCGCCTCCACTCCCATCACCACCGTTGCCCCGAACAGCACCAGAGAGGAGGTACTCATGGATGAGGAGGTCGAGGGGCGCGTGCATGAGCCCCGCCTCCACGTGCCCCAGCAGCCCGTCCACCGTGGACGCGTTGAGAAGCAGCGCCTGCGCGCAGCACGGCACTGGGTACTCCGCCCCGTGGGCCAGCTTCCACCCGTACGTCTGTGGGTAGTACAGCGACAGCACGTCCCAGGAAGGGTAGCTGGTGCGCAAGCCACGGCCCTTGTTGCCACTCTCAGCCCCTCCCAACCTTCCGTTATTGCCCTCCTGCTCCTTCTCCTCCTCCCGCCCCTGCTCCTCCTTCTGCTTCGCGTCCCCTCCCCTCTTCCTCTCTCTCTCCTCCTCCTCCTCTCCCCCCCTTGCGCCCACCAATCGCGGCAGGTCCACGGCAACGAACCGCTCCAGCCCCACGTCCCACTGCCACGCTGGCACCACGTCATCCTGCAGCAGCAGCACCATGCGCGCGCCCGTGTGCACACACTGCCTTACCACGTGCACCGTGTCCATCGCCACCTTCACATGCCACCGCCACCGCTCCCACCCCTCGCTCTCCACCACTCCCGCCGGCACTTTGTTAAGTAGCGCCGCCGGGTCGTCGAGGAGCGCGCACACGGCGGGGTGTGCGGGGAGGGTGACGATGGGGAGGGAGAGGGTTGCGGCGGTGGCGCGGATGGCGGCCGTGTGGGGGTCCGCGAGCGGGTTGAGGCGCGCGGCGGTGGCGAGCGTGGCAACGAGCGCGCGCGTGGAGGCGAGGGAGGCGTTGGTGGCGCGGGCGAGGCGGTGCGCAGCGAGATCATAGGAGGCTGGGATGTGGAAGCGAGGGGGGGAGGAGGTGGTGGAGGAGGAAGAGGAAGAAGAAGCACCTTTCTCTTCCCCTACGCGTTTATTCTGCTCAACCCCACTCACAGACCCGCTATCGTGTCCATCCTTCTCTTTCTTCCCCTCCTCCTCTCCCTCCGCCACCTGTTCCGCCATCTTCCGCACATCTCGCACGTGGCATCCCCCGCTGTACACGACAACGCGCATGGCGCGGTCGAACAGCTCCGCGCCCCTCTCCGCCAGTGCGCGCGACTTCCCCGTCCCGCGCGGCCGCGCCCCCGCGCGCCTGGCGTCGAGCGCCTTGAGCAGGTTCGTGACGGTGAACCACGGCGCGCGGATCATCCGCGGGTCCGGGCGCGGGGAAGACGCGATCGCGATGCACAGCCCGCTTTTGCGCCCGCCGCCAACGCGTCGGCGACGGCGGCGGCGGCGGTGCTTGCGCGCGCGATTTGGATTCCCGCCGAGGCTGGCTGTGCTGGTGTCATTCTGAGGATCGGCTGCAGGAAGAGGTAAGTGCGGGGTGGAGGAATCGGCGGATCGCGGGTAAACGGTGGGCGGGACGCGAGGAGCGAAGAAATCGGCGGGTAAGAGGCTGCGGAGATGGAGGGGATGATAATGGGCGGAATGCGGTTGGAGGGAAGAGGAGGAGCTGCTGAGATCGTCGCTGCCTGGCTGGAGGCTGCTCGATTTCACCGATGAGGAATCTACATATCTCGGTGCAGTATCGGTTGAGAGACGTAATTTTAACGGGAGCTCTTGTGCTCGTGTCGGCACTTCACTCACAAAGCGGCGTTGAGCAAAAATCACTAATCCCACCAGAGCCGAAACGAAGAGAAAAACGAGGAGCTTCAGCGCTGTGGCGCTGCGACGCGCCGCGAATGGGCCGCGAGGCTTTGTTGAAAACACTATCTTCGACTGAGCGCGTGGACGAGGCATCGATGTCTGTGGTTGTCATTCAAATATTTAGGAGCTCCTCAGTGGGTAGGCAGCACGTGCCGCCTGGACACTCAGTTCTGACAACCAAGGCTCTGCGACAAATGGGTTGAACAGAATGATTCGTTACTACATTGAAGTTCAAAATATAATCCGCGCAGCTTCAAACAAAACAGGCACGAGATATCGAGTTAAATTGAAAGGTTGGCTCCTCGGCAGGGCATGAGCGAATCCCAAAAGCGTCATCGCAGTTTCCCCCCCTCAGCACATACTTGGACATACACCCACCCCACCCCAGCCATTCTCCTCCCGCCACAACCCTAATTCTTCCCCGCTCCGCCCACTTTCTTTCCGCTTCAATCCACCACATCCGCCTGCATCAATTCTTCCCCTCGCCCACTTTTCCCCCGGCACTCTCCGCTCCCCTCCCTCCCCAACCTCACCCCGCCTCGGCTCGCCTTGCCTCCTCACTTCATCTCTCCCTCGCAGCTGCCCGGTCCTCCCACCTTGCCTGCCACTACAGCTGCTTGGCCCGGCCCATCAAGTTTCTCCCTTCACCTATTGTCCGTTCCTTTTCTCCTCCTCCCTACTCCTTCTCCTTGCTGAACAGACCCCCTTCGCAACCATGGTGAAGTACCGGGTGCGTATCCTAATAGTCCTTTTAGTACGCGTCGCCTCCTCCCTTCTCGTTGGTTGTAGATTGCTGATCGTGTCGGATTCGGCTTCCAACGGTTGTAGCTGCCTCTCGTTAGCACCGCCCACTTTCCTTCGTTTATATTTTTTAGCCTAGGTTCTCGTCCCTCGTCCTGCTCTCGAGATGATAAAGCGCGCTAAAGCGCACACCCTTAAGAAATTTGCGATTCGGTGTCGTGGGCCTCCAGAGCAGCCGCAACATCTGCTCCTCAAGATGCTGTTTCGCCACATTCCGCCCGGACTCTCTCTTATCACTCCACCGGCACCACGTCGCCTTAATCTACCCGTCCTGTTAATTGATCCTTCGCCGTACCCTCCCACCTCCACCCCACCCCTCTCCCCACTCCCCCACCCCCCCGCCCCCCATTATACCCCCCCTTCTCGTCGTGCCTCCGCCCTGCCCCCCCCGCCCCGCCGTGTGGTGCGCGCAGTTCCACCAGTACCATGTGGTGGGGCGCATGAACCCGAGCCCCAACGACCCCACGCCCAAGATCTACCGCATGAAGCTCTGGGCCATCGACCAAGTGCGCGCCAAGAGCAAGTTCTGGTGAGCCTTATACCGCGGACAGAACAGTTCCGGTTGGGCCTTATAACGCGGACAAGCATGATGCCAAGTGCTGAGACGAAGGCGGAGTCCAGCGACGCTGGTGGGGTGCGCACAGTGTTGATGCAGTCGAGACGTTCTTCGCAGAAGGGGCGATGTCGGTTGGCGGATGGATGGAGACTGCGCGCTAGGACTGCCTGGGATCTGATCTGGTTCGCGTGCGAGCTGGCGTGTAGGCTAGAACGAGAAGGTTGGGGGAGCAAACGTTGACGGAGAAGGCTGTCTGGTGGCCGTTGCGGAGCATGGGAGCTGAGGGATCATGACATTTGAGAGGGCTCAAAGGGAGCTGGGAGCTGCATTCTGGATGCGCAGGATGGGGTGGTTGGGAGCAACGTCGCGCGCGGAAGTTAGGGGCATCTGACCGTGTCGCAGTAGTAGTCGTGTGATGCCATGATTCGTCGCTAGTCTAGCGCCGATCGATCTCTCTCTCAGTTTCGCCGTAGATGAGACGCCGTTCGGCTTTCGTCGCCCGTGTGGGTCGTCATTTCGTCGAGCACCTGCCGCGTTGATCCCGCGTCGTTCTTGACGTTTCTCGTGGTCATTCATTGATAGGACCCTGGCGTTGCCCTCGTCGGAAGCGGTCGATGGCTTCGGAAGAGTAGATCGTAGCTGGATACTGATTTGAGCACCTTCGGAACTTCCCAAGCAGCTGAAGACGCGACATTCCGTTTCATGCACCCTTTTTGAAACCTCTTCAGCCTACTAGTTTGCTCTTTCGCAAATCAAATTCTATTGAGTTGTTGGCGTGGGTTTCAGACTTTCGCTCCCTCTCCCCTTTCCCCCCTCTCCCCTCCACTCCCTTGTGTTATACCCACAGGTACTTTTTGAGTCAGCTGCGTAGAGTGAAGAAGGCTCACGGTCAAGTCCTAGCGATCAACGAGGTGAGTAGTAAGTTCACGAGGTAAGTTCAAAGGGGTGTTAAATAGGGATTGACGGCGCGATCCAGGAGTGTTGGGCTCCATCCAGGTATACCATATCTTTGAATGGAGATTTTCAACATTTCACAAGGGTTTTGGCTGTGGTCATGGGTTCGGGTATGTGTTTCACATCAGGTCTTCGCGGCCTCTTCTTCCTAGGATCTTCCTCGAGTGCGCAGTTGTCACGCAAGTCGTTGCCAGCCGTAAGCCGACTAGTGCGAGAGCGTGAGGCCGGTTGATGGAGATGTCACGCCTTCTAGGCATGGAGTGGAGTGGAATCTGCTAACGAGTTGTTTCGTAGATCGCGGGTTTGATCTGACTCTCCTGTTGCGCAGCAATGTGGAGATAAGAGCCGGGACAGTTGCTATTTGAGCATTTTGGGGTTAGCGACCCTGGCTCTCAGGAACAGCCCGTGCGAGACGGACCAGTGGCATCGTAGCCGTTAGAGAGGGGGGTTGTGATCGAGTGGGAGTGTCTTGGGGATGACGAACCAATCAAGATGACGAGTCGGAGCCGTCAGGCCGTGAAGACCATTCGAGGCATTTGTCTGAAAGATTCTCTACCGGCCAATCGGAGCCATCGATCTCTCCGCGTCAATGTGAATTCGGGTTAGTGCCGGTGCAAGAATTCAGGTTTTTTTCCGTCGGTCCGCAATCGTTATAGTAGGTTAACGAGAGATGAGCCGTAGCCGCTGCGTTACATCGTCGCTTATTTACGGAGACTCACCGGAGGTGGGCGTCTTGATGACGAAAATGAGCAGATGACGAGTCGTAGCCGACAGGCAGGTACGAGAAACGCGAGGCATTTGTCTGGAAGACGCTCGCTCCAGCTTTATCAATGTCCTTACCCGTGTGGTCGTCCTTGTTCCGTTTTATCCCGAATCTAAGTAACGGGTCCTGTGGTTCGGCTGGTGTCTTGATGATGACGACACGATTAAGATGACGAGTCGTAGCTCACGAGCAGAGACGACAAACACGAGGCATTTGTCTGAGAGATACCCAGTCCTATCTTATTCCCAATTTTTTTCTGTATTCAATCGTTCTCGTATTTATCCAACTACAAGTTCGAACCCTGGTTTTTTCTCCAAGGTACGGTACGGAAGCTTCGATGTCGTGATGATGACAAAAACTTTTTAAGATGACGAGTCGTAGTCTGCAGGCACTGACGACAAACACGAGGCATTTGTCTGAATGACATCGAATCTGGATTGAGGAATAATGGGTTCCAGTCCATCTCTTTCCCGCCTATTTTTCGTATGCGTCTTCCCAGTTGACGATATATTGTGCAAGTGTTTCGTCAGGTATCGTAGCAACGCACCGTGTGCACGAGTCGAGTGAATGTCTTGGTGATGACGACACTAACAAGATGACGAGTCGTAGCCGATTGGCTCTGACGACACAACGAGGCATTTGTCTGAAAGACACCGACTCTGAGTGCATCCGTGTTTCCTTCTTCCCTTTTTATTATTCTCAGTCCCTTGTTGACCAGATCTCCTGGTCGTTTCTCCATCCTGCTGTTCCCATGCACCACATGAGTGCTTCTTGAAACAGCAAGAGTTCACGGCTGTCTTGATGATGTCAAAAACTTTTTAAGATGACGAGTCGTAGCCATCAGGCTCTGACGACAAACACGAGGCATTTGTCTGAGAGATATCCGGTCCAGCTTTCGTTCTCATTGGTTGTTGCCGCGTGACCCTAAATCATTATTTCACCAAGGTATGGTATGAAGCTTTGTTCTGAAGGCACTGTGCAAGGATCTTCACTGTCTTGATGATGTCAACAACTTATAAGATGACGAGTCGTAGCCGACAGGCTCTGACGACAAACACGAGGCATTTGTCTGAAAGATATGCAGTCCAGATTTCGTTCTGCTCATTGGTTATTGATCCATGACACTCATCATCATTCCTGCAAGGTATGGTATGAAGCTCTGTTCTGGGGTACTGTGCTAGGAGCTTTACTGTCTTGATGATGTCAAAAACTTTTAAGATGACGAGTCGTAGCCGACTGGCTCTGGCGACAAACACGAGGCATTTGTCTGAAAGATTCCTGCTCCAGTCAGTTTCATCAGCATCACTTTTTTTTACATCTGTGTTCCAGGTTGGATCATGACCCTTAACCTCCTTGATCAGCATGATGCTGATGTAAACCCTGTGGGAAAGCATGTTACGTTGAGTGTGTCTTGAGGATGACGAA